CAGCTGAATTTGGACTCCAGGTGCGGACACTTGACTTACAGGGCTGTTCAACATCTGGATGACCTATGGAGAAGAGATGACGGAATGAGTTCTTGAGGAAAGACCTTCAGAGTTTTCAGCAGACCCCAGGAGAACTTAGGCAAAGAGGAAAAGGACAGAGAGGTTTTTGGCGTCTTGATGGATTTGCCATATACGCAGCACCCAGCTCATCTCCATTCCTGCAATACAGATCTCAGATGAATCAGCAGACATTTGGTCAAACTACTTTCAAGTAAATGCCTTAATATTGACTCAATGTCCAAACTTTCCTTCCTCATCTTCCACTTGAAGGCTTTGTTACCTTGAATAAAAAGTAGGAAGGGCATATATTGGCTGAATACACACAACGTTTTTGAAACTTGTTTAATTTTAGAGGGGAGGAAACTAAGGCTCAGCAATACAGAGTGAATTGAGCAGGTTCATACAGCCTGAAGTGTAAAAGTCAGCATTGGAACCAAGTTTTGTGTCATTCTGAATTCCATACTAATTGTTCTTTTCACTATTGGATGCAGGGGCCCCCAAACTAAATGAGAGTCCCTGTGGTGTTACTGTCATAGGTACAACCCACTAGGACTGACAGATGTCCCAGAAAACCCAGGCAAAGAAGAGGTGAGCATAGATAGCTTCCATCCCTTGGACTGAGAACCTGGGAAGAAACTGTCTAGAACCATGAACAGAGCTAGAAGGCAGCCCTGAAGCCATCTTATCTCTTCTACTCCCCTTTCCTACAATGAAGTCATTCCATACCACTGAGCTTCTCCTTGCTCTGTCCATTCTGACTCAGGAAATGGAGGGTTGGGTGAGGAGGGGGGAGAAGGAAGGAGGAATTCTTCTCCTCTTTCCTTAGGGAGATGATGCCTCATCCCCACTGATCAGCCTGCAGTGACTTCTGAATTTTTGTCTGCTGAGATCACCTCTAGGCCCTCAGAGAACTTTCCCTTGCACTGCTGAGAAAAATAATCAGAACTCAATGTAGTGACTGGCTCTAATTTGTTAATGGGAGTCTCATGAGACTAGGAGAATAGGATGCAGAATCTTAAGATGTCCTATTAGCCTTATTATTTTTTTTTTTTGAGAAAGCAGGATTTATTGAGATGACAGAAAAGCTCTCACAGTAGGAGAGGACCCAAAAAGGTTGTCTATTATTATTATTATTATGACAGAGTCTTGCTGTGTCACCCAGGCTGGGGTACAGAATCACAGTCATAGGTCACTGTAGTCTCAAACTCCTGGGCTCAAACAATCTTTCCCTCGTGGTCTCCTGAATACCTAGGAATACAAGCACACACCACCACACCAGCCTAGCTACACTCTTTTTTTCTTTAGCATTAGTGGTTAGTTGGGCAGGTGGGGTGGGGATGCTGGACATTTCTAAAGCAAAAAGCAACAAAAGTAATCTTTGAAAACGCTTTGTGGCAATGTTGCAGGGTAGCAGGCATCACTACAGTATGAACACTGGAAAGCCATTTGAAGTGAAAAATCTGTTCCAGTGAAGGTAATAAATTCCTTCAACCTTCTTGCCTCTGCCCAAGCAAGGAAGAAGAGAGAAGCCATCAAGTGGGGAACGAGAAGAGAAGAGAAAAAGAGAAGAAGGAGTGCCAAGGAAATGCACAAAGACCTTTTAGATATAAGGCATCAGAATAAGAAGAGATGGATCTAACTACAAGAATCCCTGGTCCATGGAGAACACACACAGTGAATGCTCAGTAAATGTTTATTAAATAAAAAGCCTTCTATCTTGTTAACATGAGGTTAAAAAAAAGAAGTTACAGATGGAGTATTAGAGCCTGTGCCTTGATGGTGGATGCCAGGTGAACATTTCACCCCCTCCATGGGCTTTCTCCTGGAATTGGCAAGGGATAAAGCAATCTTTCTCCCTTCCTTAGAGAAAACAACTGTCAGTGGTGGGAAGCCACAGGAGAGCAAAGATGACAAATCTGCTTGGCTCATCTTTCCGCCTTGGTTTCTTGTTCATCAACAGAGGGACCAAATGCTTCCAAAGGACAGGAAGGTGAGTCTGGTCATTATGCTCAAGTAAGTAAAGAGTAGCAGAAACCTTAACAAAGCTTGTGCTTACCTGGTTATTAGAAGCAAACTCTTTGATATAAGAAAGAGTCCCAAGAGCCACTGAGTCCATCCATCACCAAAGTAGCAAATCCATCAATAATACCAGGTTTCATGAATGGACCATCCTCATGTGAGGGCACTGAGTCAGGCACATTACTGGCTTAGCTCTTTTAACCATGGCAGAAAGTCTATGACATTGGCCTTAGGAAACTCATTTTACAGAAGAGGAAACTGAGACTCAGATGTTTCAGGAATTCCCTGGTGAGGGGTAGGATATTATGTGATACTTTTGATCCAAGTAAGTGTGCCAGGTTTTGAAACAATGAAGGTTGGGTTAAAATATCAGCTGTATAGTTTCTCATTGTCACCTACTGTGATGCTACCAACTTCAGGGTTGCTGTAAAGCACAAATGGGATGAGATCTTTAATAGATGTTCACAGATATATTAATTTTGTCCTGAAAAATAATGAGGAATTAACAAGGAAAATGTTGATCAGGGGAGAAATTTCGAGCAAAGATAACAGTTGCAAGAGAATGTGTATTAAAATGACTATGAATTTGAGTGAAGCAGTAGAGCTGCAAGTGCTGAGATAGGTAACCTAAGTAGAATCCAGATTGTGAAGTATCTTGTATGTCACATGAAGAAAGTTGAAGTTTATATTGAGATAGATGGAGAGCTGCTTAGAAAGTTTAAGCAAATAAGTGAGATAAGATTTGTCATTTAGAAAAACCACTGTTCAGAGAAACAGATACTATTCATACATTTGGCTATCTATCCATATATCCGTCTATCTACCATCCATTCATTTAACTGTTCATTTATCCATCATTCATCCATCTGTGTATCCATCCATCCATCCAAAGAGTAATTATTGAATGCCAAATCTGTGTCTAGAGTTAGGCCAGTTCCTGAAAGAACAGGTTTCTAAACATGATCTCTGCCCTTAGGGAGCTTCTAGTCTTGTGAGATCAGTTAGGAGACTGTTGCACTAATACAGACAATACATGACTATGGCCTGGACACAGGGCCATCACAGAACATGACAAATCAGAATTCTTGTGGAAGAAAAATTGACACAGCTGTGAGACTGATTGGATATGTAGCTGTGAGGTATGGCAAGGAGCTGAGAAAAAGAAATGGAGGAAGGAAGGAAGGAAGGGAAGGAGGGAGGGAGGGAGGAAGGGAAAAAAGGAGGAAGGGAGGAAGGTAGGGAAAGAAGGAGGGAGAGATGAGAAGGGGAAGAAAAGAAAGAGAAGTGTACAGGTCCTGTTACTTTACTGTTGTTAGAGTCAGGGTTTCACTTTGTTGTCCAGGCTGGAGTGTAGTAATACAATCACAACTCACCGCAGGCTCAAACTCCTGGGTTCAAACAATCTTCCCTCTTTCAGCTTCTCAAATAGCTGGGACTACAAAAGTGTGCCACCACACACAGCTAATTTTTTTTTTTTTTGTAGAGACAAGGTCTCACTATGTTGCCCAGGCTGGTCTTGAAAACCTGGCCTCAATGATTTTCCCACTTTAGCTTCCAAAAGTGCAGGGATAACAGGCTTGAGCCACCATGCCTGGCCAGCTTCATTATACATACGTATTCTTTTGTATATATGGTGATTAAATGAAAAATTTCATGTTTATATAAGCTCTCCACTAGCAGTAAGTCCATATATGTATATAGAAATACAGTTATACATACTTATGCTGATCTAAATATACATTTATGAAGCTCTATATAGACACCCATTATATATCTATGTGTATATATACTGCAGCTGTTGACACGAACACAGCTATAAACTTGGTGCCAAGTTTTTTTCCAGATGAACAGTTAAGTACACCTGAAATATTCTGCACAGAAAAATAGAGAAAACACAAATAAGAAAAAATGAAAACAGTCAGTGCCATGTGTTAACCTCTCATGGAAAACCCAACATTTGGGATGTATTTTATGATTACATAAATGATCTTAACTGGGATTTGAATTCCTAGACTACAAAGGTAGTATGGTATCAAAAACTTCAAAAATATTAATATGGAAAATATAATTTTTGCTCAAGAGAGGAGACAACCATTTTCTGTGAACAAAGGTAAGAAGTTCTATGACTATATTTACCTTCTTTAACATGAAGCTAATTCAATGTAGCAGATTTCTAAAAAAATATTTGTTCAAGAAAGAATTTTCTATGTTGTTAATATGGGCTTATAATAAGAAGTTACAACTCTGTGGGAGATTATCTAGAAAGGACATTATATTTCAACTGGTCATTCTGTGGATACGATACCATCTTCAGAGAAACTACGAGACTCACCCAAGGGCACAGAGTGTTGATGGCAGGGCTGAGACCTAGGTCCAGTTCTTTTTACTTCTACCCCCACCCGCACTCTTTCTCCAACCCAACAGATATGTCTGGCATCGCTCATGAATTTGGGAGTTTTATGTTAGTTTGGGAAGTCCAAAAACTTAAACATGAAAGATAAATAGGATGAAAATGAGTTGAGAAATAAATTGCAGAGTTTGGCCCATGGAAAAGTTTATTTCTTCAAGGATATTAAAAGGGTCTGAGCCAAAAGGATCACAGAGACTGTAATAGGATGCTCTAAAAAAAGAACAGTGTCTTTTCCTGGCCTGCATGTACTAAATTTACATAGAAGGAAAACCCAGGGCTGCTGGAGGTTTCCCTGGAGCTCTGAGTCAGCTCAGGGAACCAGGGAGCTCAGTGCTTCCAGATGAACTCCGTTCAGCGTAGCATACTTTAAGAAGGTCAGGGACAAACTAGGAACAAACTTTTCTAACTGATAGTTGGGTTGAATGGAGGTGTGAGGAGATGTCTGCAAATGATTTCATTCAAACAAGTGGTAGAACAGATCAAGATGATTTTAGCCAGAGAAGTCTCAGGGGAGGGTTTTTCTAATTCTACCTTCCAAATGTCTCTCAGTGCCACTGACTTCTCTTCATTATCACAGCCACCGACCTCACTCAGGGCACGACCACCCATCACCTGGCTGCTGGCAACAGCCTCCTAGCTGTTCTCTTTTCTCCAGCACCTGGCTCCCCCAATCTCTTCTCAGAACAGGTCTTACAATGTACTATACTCCTGCAAAGGCATGTGGTATTTCCTCACTGCTCTTTGTGTAATTCCAAACCCATCCTCACCTGGCCATTATTATTTCACCTATCCAAACTTTTCCACTTCCATTTTGTTCTTCATGCTCTAAACCTATTTAAACTCTTACAGAATTATTGAGCTTCTGCTTATATAGGTTATACATATTAGTAGCTGCATACTGTAAATTAAAACTAATAAATTTTAAAACTCAAGAACACCTAAGTATGCATTCCATTAGCTATCAGAGCACGAATAATATCACATGTCATGTATCTACTAGATAACTCTACTGTACTCTCAGGAGAGAATGAGCATGAAAAAGGCAAAGATGTATTATTATGAAAATACTTTTTAATTCAAGGACACCCTGAAAAATCCTCCAGAAAACTCTGGAATACACTTAGAAAACAGTCACTCTGAACATACTAAGCTTCTTTCATATTTTCAAATACACTTTGTTAACAGTGTTGTGACATTTCATGGGAAGCCTGAGTCTCCAGTTCTGGGTGAGGTCCCCTTGTTACTGGCTGCCAGTGCTCAGCACTTCTATTAGCATAGGACTGTTCACACTGAATGGTAATTGCCCAATTACTTATCTGACTCCCCTAGCAGACAGTTAGTGCTGCCACCAATGAGCCAACGACAATGCCTAGTACATAATCCCTATGGTGGTCACAAGTGAGACAAACTAATTCTATGCAAGTATGCAGAATGTTGTTGCATGACAGAGACATAACTTCTCTGTAAGAACTCAAAGTGGGTTCAGTTTGGGTGGAAAATTATAGTTGCAGATTTTAAGATTTTTTTTTTAAAATGGAGTTAGAACAGGGTGCCAGAGAAATTTAGTGAGGAAGCACATAGAGGGGATTCCTGTGCTGGCAGAGCAGGAGGGGATACTGGGGCTGGATGACCCCAGGCATCCCTTCCAGGTCAAACAGCCTGTGATTCTGTGAGGCTGAACTGAGGGCTTTTCCCAGACAACCCTCTTGCTTTACATTCCAGATGGATTTGTTTAGAGTTCTTGAGTTCGACTCTCATTTTTATTTTAAGCTACTTTTAAAAAATAAAGCGCAGTACCGTCGTTTTTAAACTTCACTTTCCTCTCTGATCCCCTCCCTTGCTTTATTCTATCTCTGGCTTTTTCTTTTCAACCTTCTTTCTAAAAATACAGAGGATAGCGGAGGAGTTCTCACTGATGCTCAGTGAGGAGACTGATTCTGCTCCCTCTGATGCGCTGGTGTAATAGTGTTCTTACCCAGTGACTGCTGGCATGAGCTGACCTGCACAGGAGCAAGAGGACTGGGTGGGGGCAGGGTCTGGATATAAGTCTCTGAGGATCAAAGAGGAGAATATGGAAGACTGAGAGGAAAGTGTGGGGTCTCTGCCAGCCTGGCTTGAGGGCCAAGTGACAAAATGCAACAATCAGCATTTGGTAAAAGGTGTTCTCTTGATTTCAGTGTGGCTGTAACATTGAATTTAACAGTCATTGTTGGTTCCCTGGGAAGCCTGGGAGACACCGCCTGAGCAGAGAAAGGTCTGAGTATGGTGGGAGCCCACAACAATGGCAAATGAGAGGTACTTCCTTCAAGTGTCTTGAGCATCCCAAAAAGAAGTGTATATAGATGACATTGAAAGGAATAGTTACAACATATTTGAGAATGTCCTAGTAGTCTCAGAAATAACTGCATCAAAAGAATAAAAAACTGCTGATGCCTTAATGTATGGACTCAAAAGTGACCTTGTTTATAACCACAAGCAGTCGGGTTTTGAAGAATATATAAAAACCCCTACACACCTTGTTTTTATCAGGCATGTGGCCTTGAACAGTTTTTTAATACCTTGGTACCTTTGTTTCCTCATATGTAACATGGAAATAACATACCTAGGACAGGGCAGGTGCTCAAAAAATATTTGTTGAATGTATAAGTGCATGAATACCAGCCTCACAGGATGATCTTAATAAAATGAGAGGTATACGGGAAAGACCATTTAAGTCATAAAACCCCATATGTATTGAAGGAGCTGTTCTTTGCACACTCCATCTGTCAATGAGCCTCCAGAAGGCTGGCTTACCTTCTGCTTCTCGAGGGCTCCAGTGTCCTGATGGACCGCAGGGCATTGGGGAGGAGGCGTTGAAAGCATACTGCACAAGGATTCTCCCTTCCAGGCAAAGGTCGCATGCTGATCCCAATTCTCTAGGAGGCCAAGGAAGAGGGGAAAACGCACCGACTTAGGAAAAGTTGAATGAGCAAGTGGCGGGACTAAGTCAACAGGACAGAGGACACAGCTAGTCTATTATCCCCATCCTCCCTACACATGCCAAGGAGTCTGGAAATAACTATAAAATAAATTCCTCCCCATTGTCCAACAAGAACTTTGTTTGGACCTAGGTGACTTCTATTCTGAGAGTACATATGCTTCTTTCTTTAGCAGCACAAAAATCAGCCGGTTAAAGACTCACCTTCAATAATTTTGATTTAATCAGACATGTAAAGCTCCATGGAGAATGTGCTGTGTGGTTACGAGAAAATCTGTTGCTCTAGTTTGTCCTCAAAGTTTACTTCTTTAACAATACTTAGCACAATACCTACTATGTGCAAGACACTGTCCTGTGTCTTAGGCATTACATATAAAAAAAGCATGGTTCCCTCATCTGAAAATAAATGGGCTGGATTAAATGATGCCTAAGAACCTTCCAGCCCTGATGTCCTGGGGATGGGTGAGTCACTCCTCTATTTAACAGTCAAAAGTAGTTTCTTTACCATGCCATCTAATTCATTTTAGCAGCTTTCCAAGGGGCTAGCCAATCCCTCAATGGAACCAGCCCCAGAAGTGGAATATTATGATGACTTCCTCTACTGACTTGTAAGTCTTGTGTATCTGGATTCAATCTTCCTTTGGCCATAACAGCCTCTGGGATCCTACTTGTTTTCCAGATCTGGCATCTGTTTAGGAGGCAGTTGTGGAGAAGGGAGAGGGATGAGTCCTCTTCTCCTATATTACTGTGAACTGAAAACTCTGCAAATCTGAGTGACCTCTACAGAGGAACTGAAGCTGCATCTCAGGAAGATATCAAGAAACATCTTAACCCAATTCATTATTTCTTAAAATGCAATGGTCCTGCTATATCTCTTTCACAACTCCTAGAAGAATCTCTACTTTGGCTACCTGAAACGACACAACGGAGGGGTTATATCTCAAGTCTTAGGCTTCCCTTCAAAGGATTGCTTTCCATGCCTCTGGGCTCACACAGTAAGGATGAGCACACTTGTGAACATCACTGTCTGCTGGTGTTCTCCATTCCCTCTCCACAAGGTTGACACGATTATCCTCAATCCTCAATATGAATGCATCATGTTCCTGCTTACCACTTTTGGTGATTCCAGTTCTTAATACCCTGTGATGTGGCATTCAATGCCCTTGCAAATTGTTCCTCTCTTCACTCTAGCCTCGTTTCTCTCCACTATAAGCTCTGTGTAGTTACCATGTTGTGTCATATTACCCATTTCTCTGTCCCTTACTTTTTTTACTTGGCTGATGTTTCTCCTCCTTCAAGGTTCACCTTGGACAGTAGTTCCTCTGTGAAAACTTTTTTGTACACAAGTGAGCTTCTCTCAATAGATTGTGAGGTCCTTGTGGACAAGGTCCATGCTTCATCTTTTTTTCTTTCAGAGTCCAGCACATAGCTTATTTCATAGTGTTGGTCAGTATATGCAGTTGAATAGATGGGTAGATGGATGAATATCAGTTATTTGGGACATGTAGCTAACAATTATAAATAACATAGTCCAGACCTTCAAATTGTAGATTTTGCATTCTCAGCCTTATCATTGTAAATGTGAAACCATATTTAGGTAGAAATTTCACAAGCACACTAATACTAATATTCAGTGATAAGAGAAGTATTGGATAGTCCATGGTTAACCTATTGAATAGGGTGGCAAACAGTTATTACAAAAAATATTTACGCTGATTATGTAATTTCATGGTAAATATGTTAAGTTATTATATTCAGTGAAAAAGTCACATTCAAAGCTGATTCTAGGCCGGGCTCGGTGGCTCAGCCTGTAATCCCGTGCCTTTGGGAGGCTGAGGTGAGTGGATTGCCTGAGCCCGCGGGTTCGAGACCCACCTGGGCAGCAAGACCTCATCTCTACAATAAATCAAAAAATCAGCCGGGCGTGGTAGCGCATGCCTGTAATTCCGGCTACTCGGAAGGCTGAGGCGAAAGGATCGCCGGAGCCCAGCAGGTCGAGGCTGCGGTGGCTGGGAGTGGCCACTGCACTCCAGTCTGGGCGACAGAGTGAGACTCCAACTCAAAAAAAAAAAAAAAAAAAAAGCTGATTCTATAGTAGTATCTAAATGTTCAAATAACCTTTTGGGACAAAATAGTATTGGCAGTAATTTCTGGGCAGTAAAACATAAGATGATTGATTTAATTCCCTCCTATTTTTATGTATTCTGGTTTTCTAAATTTTCTACACATTTTAAATACATATGAGTTACTCGGGTAAACGATAATCACAATTACACAAATATACTTGTAGGCAGGAAATTAGGGGTGGAGAGACGTCTTCAAGCACCACTAGTGACGGCAGAGTTCCATTACAATGACCACAAGACATGCATAGTGCCTCTGAGTCACATGACTGACTGGCTTTGTGATGACAAGATTACAAATGTCCTAGAATGGATCCAGGAATCATGCTGACCTTAATGGCCATTGATTCTTTCTATTTTCTTTGGGTGTTTTGTTTTGGGTGATGCACATAAAGCTACCTGAGCTTCACTGAGTTCTTGACACACCCCGGGTTACCAAGAAATACTTTGATGAATATACAAATCATCATCCAGCTGACGACAAATGTGTGGGGTGTTCTACACACCCAGGTAGTGTATGTGTTTCCTACCTTCGATATTTATTTTATTTTCACAGGTACCTATATCTACACACACGCGCGCGCGCACACACACACACACATACACACACACACACACTGAAATCATAGACATCCAGGATGCCAAAGCTGGGAGAGATTATCTTTCTTACCTGGGTTCCATGAGATTCAAAGCTTAAAGCTCTAAACAGACGCTATCCAACATGGCAGCTACTAGTCACATGTGGCTGTTTAAATTTAAGTTAACTAAAATTAAATAAATGTTAAAATCTTGTTCCTCACCCACACTAATCACATTTCATAGTAACAGTTGGCTAATGGCTATCATCTTAGACATGAAGACACAGAACATTTCTGTAACTGAAGTAAGTCCTATTAGACAGTGCTTCTTAAGGCATACACTGTATATAATAAATTAACTTATCTCCTATGCAACTAAAATAGTACTGATTTTGTCCCATCTTTGGGAGAAATGAAAAAATAGTTACTCAAGCATTTTCTATGTTCTTAAATTTCTCAACCAAGAAACCTGGTTGAGAAATGTTAGAACCTCTTTGGCTAACAGATAAGAAAACTGAGGCCAAAGAGGCAGAGGGAATGGATGAGGTCACAAAGACTACAGACCCAGGCCTGTTGGTTTTCAAGTCCAGAATTCTTTCCAATACACCATAGCCAATTATTCAGATAACTGAAACCATCCAGTCAACACATGTTTGCAAGACAGATAAAAATAAAGGAGTTAGAAAAAACAGAGGTAGCCTTGAATTATTTATTCAGTTGCCCATGTGTGAGGACACAGGCTGTGGGAGGATCTGAATATGTTTTTTTAAGGGAAATCCTTGTATTCTCTTAGACCACAGATGTGAGAACAGCAGGAGGACATGAGGATGGCCAGGAGCAAGAGGTTGGCAGTGATGGATGTAGTGGAAAACACCAGAGACTTTGTGGGGAAAGGGAATTTTCAAGTAGCTAAACAGCTCTGAAAAATGTTGCACAATATGGGAGTTAATATTTCTTGCACATAAAGTATATGTGCTTGGCATATCACAGATGTCATCTTGTTGAATTCTTCACAAACGTCAAATAATGTAGGCATGATTAGCACCTTTTTAATGGAAGAAGACTCAGAGGATGAGGGAGTTGAAATGGCTTGCCCAAGGTCCCATCTACTAGGAGTGATGAAGCAGAGAATGGAAAATGGATGACCTGACATCAAAGCAAGTACACTTTATGCTAAACCAATTTGCATTAGTATAAACTCCACGTGTATGAGAGAGTGATATGCATAAAGCGTAGTTCTATTTTTTTACAACAAATTGCTGAACTTGTGGACTCCTTTTGACATAGAATATGGTCTACATAGCTGTTAACCCTAATTAGATATGTTTCAAAAGTGTCAGTTTTAATTTAACATATGATAACTGCACTATGAAATCTTAGACCAAACAGAATAGCTATTGTATGAACCTCCAGGAACCAACCAGCGATAGGTTATTAAAAACATATTGATTGAAGTTGAGGGCACTATGTAATAGAGACATATCTTATTACACAACAATTAACCCTCCAACAGGTTTCCAAAAATCAGGTGGTATTTATTTAATGGACAATAACGGCTTTATGAAATACAAATTGAATACATACACAGGAAGCTTCATTTACAAAACTTCCATTTTTAGGTGGAATTGAGGCCAAAGCATGACCAAAAGGCTGGTACTTCTCATCACCACAGGAAAAAAAAAATAAATCTATGGACTGCTGGAAAGTCAGCTCTGAAGTGTCACATGAAGTTTCCCAAACCCAGCTCTGAGCTCACGGTGAGGGCAGCTGAAGCAGAGGATGGGGAGTTTCTACAGAGAATCTAAGGAGTGCATTTCCTTCCCTGGTGATCACATTCACTCAGCTGCCAAAAGAAAGTTCTAGAATCAGTTACTGATGAAAATGTACCAGAAAATAAGAGCCCAAATTTTATGAGGTACAGTGATCTAATATATTTTTAGAATTTTCATTTTAATTGATCTATTGATCTATAATAATTTTATATATATTTATGGGGTACAGTGTCATGTCTTGATATTTGTTTACAATGTGGGATGACTAAATCAGGGAAATTAAAAATTTATCACTTCTCATACTTAATTTTGTGGTAAAAACATTTAAAACCTACTCTTTTAGCAATTTGGAAATATAGTGCATCATTATTTTCATCATCACTCTGTGCAATAGATCACTAAAGCTTATTCCTCCTAATTAAAACTTTATACCCTTTGATAAACATCTTCCTTTTCCCCATCAACCACGTCACCCCACTACCCTTTAGATTCCACATGTAAGTGAGATCATGTGGTAATTTTCTTTCTGTGCCTGGCATATTTCATTTAGCATAATAGCATCCAGGTTCATCTATGTTGTTGCAAGTGACAAGATTTTCCCCTTTTTTATGGCCAAATAGTATTCCATTGTGTCTATACAGATGTTCCTCAATTTGTGATTGGGTTACATCCCAATAAACCCATTGTAAGTTGAAAATATCATAAGTTGAAAGTGCATTTTCTTTTCTTTTCTTTTTTTGATGATGGTTTCACTCTGTCTCCCAGGCTGTAGTGCAGTGGCAGGATCACTGCTCACTGCAACCTTGACTTCCTGGGCTCAGAAGATTCCAGAAGCAACCAACTCATCTGTCTCTCAGCCAAGTCATCTTCAACAAAGCCACCAATAACAACCACTGGGAAAAGGAGATATTTATCTGGCAAATAGTGCTGGAAAAACTGACTGACCAAATGCAGAAGAATGAAACTGAACCCCAACCTATGACCATATACAAATATCAATTCAAAATGGATCAAAGACCTAAACATAAAACCTCAAAGTATAAGAAGAAAATGTAGAAAACATCCTTAAGCACATCAAAGTAGGCAATGAATTCTTGACCAAATCCCCAAAAGCAAATGACATAAAAGCTAAGATAGACAAGTGGGACCTCATCAAACCGAAAAGTTTTTACACAACAAAAGAAACCATCAAGAGAGTGGGAAGACACCCCACAGATTGGGAAACAATATTTGCTAATTACATATCTGACAAAGGCCTAACATCTAGGACCTACAAGGAACCCAAATGAAGTAAAAGGAAACAAGCAAATAACTCCATTAATAAATGGGCAAAGCATAAAAAAGAACAAAATCATGAATTTCACAGCAACCTGGATGGAGCTAGAGTCTATAATACTGAGTGACCTCTCATAGAAACAAAGATCTGAGTATCACATGTTCTCACTCATATAGTGAACCTTGATCATCCAACGCACTACCATAAGAAAATGACTGACAGTGGTGGGAAACTATGGGGGGGAGGATGGGACTAATGGTAGTAAACATCTGTCTGGGGACAGGGAGACACCTGTTATTAACAAGGGGGCCTGAATGAAGCATATTTGTATACTTAACCCTTAACTGTACCCCACAATATCAAAATAAAATATTGATAAATATCAAAATAAATAAATAAATGGGCAAAGGACATGAATAGGCACTTTTCTTTTCTTTTTTTTTTTTTTTTGAGTTGGAATCTCACTCTGTCACCCAGACTGGCATGCAGTGTCTGCTCCCGGCCACCACAGCCTCGACCTGCTGGGCTCTGGCGATCCTTCCGCCTCAGCCTTCCAAGTAGCTGGAACTACAGACGCGCGCTACCACGCCCGGCTAATTTTTGATTTATTGTAGAGATGAGGTCTCACCAAGTTGCCCAGGCGGGTCTCGAACCCACGGGCTCAGGCAATCCACTCACCTCAGCCTCCTAAGGCGCGGGATTACAGGCTGAGCCCCCGAGCCCGACTAGGCACTTTTCAAAAGAAGACATACAAGCAGTCAACAGATATATGAAAAAATGCTTAACCTCACTAATCATCAGAGAAATGCAAATCAAAATTTCAATGAGATACTACTTAACTCCAGAGGATGACCATCATTGATACATCAAAAAATAACTGATGCAGGCATGGGTGTGAAGAAAAGGGAACACTTCTACACTGCTCGTGGGAGTGTAAGCTAATTCTACTTCTATGAAAAGCAGTGTGGAAATTCCTAAAAGAATTAAAAATTGGCCTTCCATATGATCCAGCAATTCCACCTGGGAATATGCCCAGAGGAACAAAAATTCTACCAAAAAGATACCTATATACACATCTTTACTGACACTATTCACAATAAGAAAAACATGGAGCCGGGCTTGGTGGCTCAGCCTGTAATCCCGCGCCTTTGCGAGGCTGAGGTGAGTGGATTGCCTGAG